GCCCACTGAGAAATAAAAAGAACAAACTATTGCATCTGAAACTTCTTTAAAGATGTTCCTCTCTGATTTGTTATTATCGGCTCCACTCAGCTAAGGCTGGCTTCTCACTGTCAGCTTCCAGCAGGACCCTGAAGCGTGATCTCCACAATGCAGCGAGGCTTACAAGGCTGCTGACATTTATCCACACGAGATTCTGGTCCAGAGAGCAGCTGAAATCCACAGTAAGCCATAATGCATTTGCCACTTTGTGTGCCTAGGGATTCCAGATCCTGCATTGTTTTTCACAACTAGGTCTCACAGTCAGACACAAAATTCACCTTTGCAGGAGGAAAAACATCAGCCAGCAGAAGACCTTAGCATGCTTCTGCTCTCCATTAGCACTGGTTTTGGAGCAAGAAGCTCTGGAAGAGAGAATTCTCAGCAGAACTTCACAAGGAGATGACAGAAGGGCAAAGTAAACTTTAAGGGACCTTTTGTGTGTTTCCCACCCTACAGATCTCTCCATGGGGATATGTCCACAGAAGTGTTGCCTCCCTCACGTACCTGGGCTGTCCTTTAAAACGAACAACTACAACCAGAGGCAAATACCCTCAGCTAGTCTGAAGTGCTGGGTACTGCCTGGCTTACTGGAGCATTCCGGCCCCGTCACACGTTTGTTCTCATCACGTCCTTTCCACAAAAGCTGGCCATATACCGTGGCATACTGGGAAAGAAGCATGCAGATAAGATGGTATTTATTTCTAGATGGTCTAGAGGTTAGCTTCAAACTATTTTATATCACTCTTTGCATTAGAACATTTGGTTACAAGAGCTGTTAAATAAATAAAAAGACAAGGTTAAGTGGATCACCCAATGGAACTTGAAATAACTGTAAGTTATGGTAATGTATACCGCTGGTCTTCTTTAGGGTTTGCTGAAGAACAATTTCAAGAATAACTTCTTCCTTTCCCTTAACCTGGGTCTCATTAGTCATGTTCCAAGGCAACAGGTTTCCATGACAGCAAATATTAAGTCTCCTGCAGCACAGCCCTTTGTTCCTGCTATAAATGCTAAGCTTTCACTACTCCGCTTCAACCTACACCTGCTATCTTCATGGAAAAAAAAAACCTTCTTGAAGAAACCTAATAGATATTTTAATCAACAGCTGTATTTTATTTCCACCATGACCTTGCAAAAGAACATGCCCTCTATTGAATTCTGTAAGAATGTCGTCAGATGCTCCTGAAGGATGCTTGTACCTGGTCTGAGCTCACAAGTTCTTGGCAGCTATCTAAAACAAACTCATTTTATGTAAGATAATGATGCAGAGTCCATGCTCATAACGTTAATGAACGATAATCCACCACAGGGATTAACTGCACAACTGAGACCTCTGGTTATAGACGTTTTATTCAGGGTGAGAGCAACATCCCCGTCACACAGAAGCTGTGCTAACAAAAGTATTTCTACCACGTTTTCAGTGGAGCAGAACATTGTTAACAAGCACAGGTAGGAGTTTTCTCTCTTTATGACCTGCACTGAGTCTTGTTATTTTGAGGGGACTGTTGATTTAATGTCTCTAGGTATCTTTGAAAGCCTCGCTCACACTGTTAAACTCCTCTAATCTTTCCTTCTAAACCAATCCCTCCTGACCCCTGATGTACCATTACTGCATGCCATATTACCCAAATGCAGGCACGGCGCTAAGCAGAGGATAAAAACAACAAACAAACGTGTTATCTGCTGGAAAGAATGTAAAGCAAATGAAAAAAAATAGTAAATCATCCTTTCGTGAGTACAGCATTATTCTGCCAACAGAAATGCAGACACAGAGCTCTATCTAAACTTTACAGGAAGTTTCCCACACGGCTTTCTGAAAACAGCTTTTCTTTTTGTAGGAGGTGCAAGGGGGAGGGCATTGAAGATTCACTTTCAATGGCTTTTTGTTAAACAAAGGCTAATCAGAGGTAACCTAAATGCCAGTTGCCCTCGAGTTATTTGCACTAGTTGATGCCTTTCCGTCAATGCATAACGAAGAAAGCAACAGAAATGGTAAGAGTTCCCAAATCCTGAGAGATCCTGCCACTCTTGCTTCTCTCTCATGATGATTTGTCACACTTTTAAATATTCTTTTGACATTATTACACTTATTTTTATCCCAGTATAATGTGTGTCTGTCTGTCTTTAATTGCCAGGATATGTTCAAAGATGTCACAGCTCATGAGCTGCAATTAGTTGTACAACAGAGAACCAGTCCTGTCACAACTGGTAAGCAGTAAGATCACAGTAAGAATCCTCCAGGCAGGGATCTTAATAAGAAAATCAAAAAGCTTTTTGTGAAATGCAGTTGGCAAAAGCAAGGAGGGGAATCTAGGCTAGCAACATGACCATGATTAATGGTAATTTTAATAAATGTAATTTGCAAACTAGGACATGTGTGCTTGAAGCTTGTCAGCAAGGTGAGAGTTTAGACAGCTGCAAAAAAATGTTCGTGAACCTGGGAAAACTGTTTTTTTTTTTTTTAATAATTATGTTAAATAAACTCAGAAAGCTCTTCAATGAGCATTTCCTAGGATAGTCAGATAGATTGGAAAGAGAAACATCAGTAGTAGATGAAATGGGCAATGCTTCAAAGAGATTTGTGAGTGTATACATTAATGGTCTGCTTTAAGAAAAATCAAACTAAGATATCAAGAGAGGCATAAATCTGCTGATGAACGATACTCCAGAGTGCACTCATCTGTGTACAGTCCTGTTGATGGCAATGGACTTCCCCGAAGATGGAAACACAGATGTTTTGACACAGGACCTACAGGCAACCTGACAATAACTGGGCTTCATTTGAGCTTTTTCTCTTTGAAGAAGCGACATACTAAGTTAGAGCTGGGTGGAGCTGAATGCCATTATAACACCACTTACCGAAGTGTTCCCTTCACTCACTGAAGGTTGTAGAAAACACAGATACAACTTTTATGTTTCTAGACCAATCTGCTCTCAAGTACATTATACAGACAGACACTTCCAAAGAAGTCACATCAAGTCATCTCATCTGCTTACTGCATGTAACCCATCTACAGGCAAAAGAAACAGGAATCTCTAGATGTTTCTTAGAGCACTTAACACATGCCCTCTACCCAACTTTGCAGCCAACAAAGGCAACTGGCATAACAAGCAATGGCCATTTCCACTAAGGTAAGGAAACCATGCTATTTCTTTCACAGTTCTCAAGCTGACTCAGGGTAGATCAGTTTGGCAATGCTGTTTATTTCAGATACTATATTGATATGGCTGCCGTAAGTACCCATAATCTATTTTCCCCCATAAGGTATTTTTCATCATGTGAAATGAGAGATGAAGAAACCCTACAGCTCTTCTTAAAATGACCAAAAAGACAGGCTTAAGATATTCATACCAAGAGATCTTATTTTTAGATCTCCTATTTTGATATACTCCACAACTTGAGAAACATAAGTTCTAACAGTCAGAATCACAGCATGGCTCAAAAAAAAAGAGTAAAAATAAATGACTATCAGTGATTTTCTTGAAGAGAAGTCACTTAGGAAAGTAAAGAGGTAGACTTGGAAAGAGCCTCTTTGCACATTCTGAAGTGGCTTCTTAATCAATTAAACACTCTAAATAACTTCATTTCAAAGCAGTAGAAAATAACATACAACTCCTACAATTTCATTAATCTACTATTAAATTGAATGTCTTCAGAGCTATTAAAAGCCCTTCAGCAATTTCCCTATTTTTTCAATGCTGAAAGTATGCCTTTGACATCAATACAGAGAAAACAGATGGATAAAGTAATTATAAAAAGAGCAGCATGACGCTAAAAACCAGCTTGCCACAGTTTTACTAACAGACTAGATAACACAGGCAGAAAAGTGGGTTGACAATTAGCAAAGTTATCGTGTTGTGTCAAAGTGTTTACACCCACCAAAAATGAGAAAAAACCTCCCTCAGGAACATACAAACAGACTGGGAAGGAAGGGGCAATGAAAAAATTAAAATAATCATGCAGGACATTTAAAGATCAGAAAAATCCCTGAAGGAAAATACTGCCTGTACACCCCAGAAATCAAAGAAAATAAATGTTGAAGGGAAATGCAAATCAGTGCTCGGATCATTCTGGCATATTTGTCTGATGACTTACCTAAGTTTTGTATAAGGTAATTTCATGACTTGACAGAGACAAAATATCTAGCTACAAATAACGGGATAAGATAAAGAGAATTTCTCTCAGCTTTGAAGTCTGTTAAAGAAAATAATCTATCTAAGGAAGCCAGTTCAATCAGCTTATTGAGTTCAAATTACACTAACAGAAAGATAGGCAAGCTAACACACCTGATTCCGCACATGTACAAGTGCAACGTTTTATAACTCCAATGTCTTGTAACACATAATAGGATGTACAGCCCAACCAATTCTTCCCCTCTCTATTTTACCCTTTTTCCATTTGTGGAGCTTGTGAAGTTATAAAAAGTTAATTAAATTGTCCAGCCTTCGGAAAAATAGACCATTTCAACAATTAGAAAGCTAGCCTGCCTCATCCTAATGGATATGTCAAGTGGGGAATGGAAAATCCTCCTAAGAAAGATGGTTATTGGAGAATAGAGTCAAAAGATACACAAGATCTTCACCCTAAAATCCCAAAGACTATTTTCTCCTCCTCAGGGTATCTCCTGCTCTTGAGCTGTATGTTTCCAAAGGCTGTACAGCTTTTCTCCAGGTCCAGGAGATCTAGGAAGACAGAGACAGGCCATCCATATGCAGAAGCAAAAAGGATTTGTGAAACCTGGGAGAAGCCTGCCTCAAGACAGAACAGTCTTCTAGATGAAATGGAAGTGTAACCTGTGCTCTGATAGCAGTTGGAGAACTGTCTTACTAGCAGAGTAGAGCAAAAAAGAGAAGGAAGACACTACAGCTGAAAGTGGCTGGGCCAAGGAGAAGTACATTTCTTCTTCAGGAGAGAGGTTAATCTTGTCAAAACAAGCTTATTAAATCAGGGCCCACAACAATTTGGCTTTTAGAAAAAAATTATTATTAGAGCAGAAAAATCATTACATTCAAAATAATGGACATTTGTACAAAAGTAGAGTCATATGGTCAGCAGTGGACCAAAACCAGTAAATATACCTCTTCCATGTACTGCCAGATTAACATTTTATGATGACAAAACCCATAGCTAAAAGACATGATACAAAAAACTGTTCAGTGCAGCAAGGAGAAGAGAAACTAGATCAAGGGTAAAAACAATTCTCAGAAACTCACATGCAGAGTAATCCAAACAGAATTGTTAAACCCTGTGCTACATCAGCTGACCTTCGTCTTGATCGTTATACAAACAAACCCCTTTAGTTATAGTTTTTTGGTATTTCTCTGAGGATCTGGCACATTGAGAAGCAATTTCAGCAAGTGAATTTTACAGGTGTATATAGCAGTTCTCTTTCCAGGTAGTTTTAACATTAAAATGCAGGCTTGTTCATGTACTCTTCCACTGTCTGGAGAAAAAAGAAAAACAATTGATACATTATGAAGCAGCAGAGTAATTTAGAATCTTTGAACCAAACCCTCTTGTCCTACTATATATATATATACATATATATATAGTTGTGTATATATATATATATACATATATATATATAGTTGTACTTTTGCATGGAATTAGATCAGATTAATGTAGAAACAATTCTACTTTAAAATCCTTAACAGCCTTTTAGAATCTGATCTTCAAATAACAACATACCACAGATGTAGCTAAATTCACCACGTCTAGCTGACCTTTGTACGAAGCTGGCCTGGTTTCATACGCTAACACCAGCCCAGTTTGAAAAACTGGGCAACTCCATAGCATGTCCCTAACTAGATAACTAGAGCTCCCATCATGCTGTTTTCCTTCAGTACCCAGAAACCTGAAGTCGATCTATCACATTCAACTGCTTTTGCCATTGCTGGCTCAATGCTATGAGTTACAGAAGAAATTCTCTTAGGGGTTTTGAATAAAGGTTACACATCTGTGCCTCGTAGAAACACCGCACAGGTGTTTAAGAATAAAAATGGGCGTTTTCTAGCACATTCTCTTTCCAATTTTAAATGTTCATTTTAGGTCATTGTTTCCAATGCATTAATGAAGCAATAGATTTTTCTATATGTATACATAAAATGTACTCTTAGATTATGTACATATATTTCATATCTTAGATATACCTTAACCTGTTTCTTCGTATAGCATCCAAGAAACTATAGCATTTAAACTGCAAGAAAGCAAAGGCAGTATATGAAGAGTTTCCAGATGATTTTGCAAGATGCAAGAGGATTGAGTTGAAAGCTCACCTAACTGCTCCTTTAATCATGTTTTTGCACTTACTAAAACTAAACTTAAACCACACTTGGATAGTAAAGTACCAGAAGTGCTAAGCTATATTTTAAGCTCCTGTCAAACAAGGAATATGCAGGAAGATGAGGTGTTTGCCTTTAGTCTTTCTCGGCCTTACCTCCTGCAACATGTCAGAGTCTTCTATGGCTTTCACTGCAGACCTCTTCGAAGTGTCTTGTACTTCTCCACCAATTATAAACTCATCAAGAATAAAATAAGCTTTTTCAAAATTAAAGATAATATCCAGCTCACACACCTGGCAGGAAAAAAAAATCCCACATTTAAATCACTTTACAGCAGTATGAACAGTGTTGGGGTAGAAGTTTTTTCAAATGATGAAATGTATTCAGTATATGCACTCTCATGGCAGGTACCAGGTGAAGAAGAACACTGCATTTTAGCCAATATTGCAGCTTCTGCACACATTCTCTTCGCATATATAGCCTAGACTTATAGCAAAGATATTCTACTTACTATATTTTATCAAATACACTACCTGCATTCTGGGTTTCAGACAACAAAGCTGACTTCCTAGCCTACTAACGTTATAGTCTTATACAACGTTATAACGTCTTATACAACCTATGTAATATGGGTTACATATATTCACACGCAGAGCAAGACAATTTCCCTGTCCTAGTGACCTTACAGTCACCAGTTGCTTTTTTGTTTCGAGGCAGTACAAACGTGAGTCATGGCACAGTGATTTAGATAAGAGATTAATTAAAGCAGTGAGAACAATTAAAAAAAAAAAAAAATCATGTGCCACCCACTAGATCAGACTAATTTGAACCTTTCTTGGGTCTTTTCTTTGGAAAAGAAAAAAAAACAACACTTTTTCTCATCTTTATGTGCTCTTAATTGTTATACAATATTATGAAAATCTATTTGCTGTTTTTATTGCTGAAGATGTCAGGAAGGTGAATTAAAATACTGTTACCCAGTGTTGTCATTTAAAAAAAATATTTCTCAAGCTTTTCCCTTAAATTCTATTCCCAGAGAAAACATCAATATTAATTTTATTTAGAAGTAAGAATATGAATTTGATCTTACGATATTTTCAGAACTATTTTATAAAATATTCTAATAATGAATTTCCCTTTGGACTGACAGAGACCAAGGGGCAATTAGTGTAGATGGAAACAGAAAGCAAAACAGTGACAGGCATCTGTTTATCAGCCAACCAGCAACGCAGTTCGTGGTAGAGAGTGAAACCTACGTTTCCAAAGTATCTGTCCAGAAGCTCTACGTATCGATGAACGACCTCTAGTGTCAGGAGCTCATTATCCTGGTCTTCTATTGCACAACAGAAATACAAACTAGCGTACCTAGGAAAATAGAGGCAAAAACAGGAGAGTGAACAGCTGGACACACTAAGAGCAAAGGCTCTTAGAAGTTACAGAAGTCTTAGAAGTAATATTTAATGTCTAGTCTCTAAAATAATCTTCTTTCATTCTCACGGTGTCCTAGAAAGCACTGAATAAGATCTGGTACTTTAAACAAATTATTAATTTAGTTAGAAAAGTAAACTCTAGCCCTTGGCAAAGCAGCTCCAAGATCGGTCTCAACAAAACAAACAGTAAGGCAGCAGCACTTTAAACATTTCCCTCGCCTGCTGCGGTTACTGCTCTTTCTTAACAAAATAAAGGAAGAAATAAAGGTGGAAAGTGTTACATCTCAGTAAGTCTGCTGGCTACCAAATGACTGATGGTGTTTTGCATGGGGCCAGAAAACATGAAACTACTTCTCCAAGTCCATCTTCACAACTTACTTGCACCAAAACTTTGTTTAGATTGTTCCAAGATGGGAGTAACAATCTACCTCAGCTCTCCGGTGCCATGGCCAGAGCCCCAGCTTAGCACAGCATGCGATCAGATGTTTACATCCATCGCTTCACAGCAAGGAAAGCAATTTTTGCTTAATGGAAGACATCACTTATTTGTATAATGTGCTGTATCTTAAACCTACTTCTGTTTACTACAAGTCACTTCACAAGAATTAGAAGTTAGCTATTGTGAAGCCTTGTGCAAATTATTTGTTTGGAAAAAGGAAATGGGAATTAACACTTCCCAGAGCAAAAAGTTTTTCAAAGACAAAAACTGTTAAAATGTTGAAAGTGCCTCAGAACCTTTCCTGCAGCCTTTCTGAGGAAGCCCACACTTCTCAGTAGATCATCCTGAAGAATCAGGAGCCTAAGCCTTCTAACAGAATTTCAACTACAAATACTTACTACATTACTCCTTTTTTTTTTTTCCATTCGATAGATTGTACAAATGCTTTTTTACTCCATAATTTACCCTGCCAATTTACCCAGGGTCATTGTGCTGCTATATTTATGATGGCTGGTTCCCAAAATCTTATTGTAAAAACAAACCCAAGTGCTTAAGTGAGCCTTTATTTTTCCACCTCTAGTATGTTATTTATATGATCAGTAATTACATGTTCTCATAAAATTACTCACACCTTTTGTAAACAAGCTTGAGGTCTTTCCAGTCAACAAAGCTACTTGTTTTCTGATGGCGAGCCAAAACAATCTGAACAATTTCTCGAACGATCTTTTTCTTCTCTTTGTCAGGTAGTGTCGTGTACCATTTCTGAAGTCTTAATTTCCCCTGTCGACTGAACAGCAGTATGAAGTGTATCTAGAGTAAACAAAGCAACAAGGTTAGTGCTGGGCACGGCCAGCTCTGCCCCGGGCACTGGCAGGAAGGCATTCCTGTGCCTGCCAAGGACAGCACAGACCTCAGCAAAGGCATCTCTGACCCCGACGGGAGGTCTGGGGGAGGCTGAGCATGGAAGCTGGCACGCTGCCCTTCCTGCTGCCTTCCCTAGCAGATGTCCCCTCCCTGCACATCCCCTTCATACCCTCTGCCACCCGCACTTCCTTACCTCGGGCAACCTGTGGCTTTGCTTTGTATTCTGCTGCTTCCCTGGGGAACTGGAAGAGCATCACATCACCCCTTTGTGGTGGCGAGAAGAGGGCCCCAGCCCCTGCTCCAGCAAGACTGGAGATGTTAGCACAGGGACTACAGGTACACAGGGGACTACAGGGGGGCTGGGGGAGTCACAGATGCACAGAGTGCGGCACAAGATGAGAAAGTGAATATTGAGATAGAGATGGTCATCACCAATAGCTCTGGCATTGCACTCTGCTGTAGAAGAAATAACGTCCCTAGAAGAGGCTGTAAGGAGCAGAAGAAAGAAGCCAAGTGCTTTGGAAAGGGATCTCAATGACTTTTACTAAAGAATTTATGAAACACAGATGAGTGTGACAACAAAGGACAGATCTCAGTGACCCAGGACATTTCATTACAGAAGCACTGGATGTACTGTTCCGAAATTTCAATTTCAAAGCCAGTCATAATTTTACATGGTTTGTCCTGTGATTTTTTTTTTTTCGTGCTTAGAATTAGCAGTATTATTGAAATAGAGAAGTGCTAGCTTTTAAATGCCAGCGGGCCTTTGGGCGAGAAGTGTCAATGCCCATTTATACAAGCACTTTTATAAGCAGATGAAAGTAACTGGCTATACTAAGCCTTTAAGCAGTCTAGTAAGTCATCTACCCGCAGCACAGAAACGGCTTTAAGAATGTAGGAGATCTATTTGAGGACGACATCCATCTCAATGAGATGTCCTCTGCTACATGAAAAAACCTAAAGGGGCAAAAGACACTTCCCAACGGCTGAAGACATCGTGAGCTGCTGCTTTTTGACAGGCATCCCCATGGCTTCTCTCAACAGCTCCAAGGCTCGGAGGCAATGCTCTCCCAGGAAGGATTTCCACCTGCAGCCACCTGCATGACCGTGCAGAGACAAGGCTACCCCTGGCGCTGGCAGGACTAGGGAGCAGCACAGCAGCCTCCTTGTCCTCACTTACTTGTGATCCTTGCAAGCTCCCAGCAGAAGAGAGACCAGAGCTGGCAGGTCCCTCACCATGACCACATTTCCATTAGCTGAACAAACTCTTCCCTATAACTTCTCAATCTACACCCTAGTCCCTTCTCCCTCTTGTTTTCTATTCCAGCCAGCTCTTGTGCCTATAATTCCTCCATCACTCCATCTCCCCAGTAAAGGCTGAAGTTAAGGTTCACAATTACTATCAGGTCCCAGCAGAGAAGTGCACTTGAGATGTTTCTACTTAAAAACAAACAAACAAAAAAAAAAAAAAACAAAACACACAAAAAAATGGATTTTACAGAAAATGTTAATATTCATAATTCAGAAGCATTCTTTAGTTATTAGGTCACAGAGTTGTTGAGTAACCTGGAGATAAGAGTTCTGACTATATCGGGAAAGACTTCAAATACGGGATCATTTTAAGGAAGCGTGGATTGGGTTGTTTTATTCATACCTGCCTGTGGCAGAATCGGCTGCAAATACGGCTCGCACTGTCATTAGCCTAATGTGTTTGATAGAACTACAAGGATTTTGTAGCTGCCTTGTGTTGAGCACTGTAATGCTCTCCAGATGAGTTTGCTAAATAAAAATAATTATGCTGCTGGCAGTACACATGGCCTAATTACAGTGAAGATCAAAGCACCATGTTCTTGCCTTTCACTGTCCATATCACCAGCTGGTTTTTGACATGGTAATATTCCAGCTGTCAGGGTTACCCCCTCGAGGTAGATGAAGGGACAGTCCACACACTTGTCCACAGAGACAAGCTGGATGAACAAAAGACTCTTTTGCTCGCTGCACAGCACCATTAGCTCCAGAGCCTTTGTGAAGAGGAGTGCCTTTTGAAAAGCAGAGCAGAGGTTCTGAAGATAAAAGCAGCAGGTCCACAGGTGTCCATTTAAAAGCAATCAGGCACAGCCAGCAGCTATTTGATAAACAAATTTCTAAAAATACGTTGAGTCAGATAGGAGAGGATGACCAGATTTGATTGAAAATGCAGGGAATTAGTCAATGGATCCCTAGCAAAAGCTGAGAGCATGTCAGCATAACAAGATCATGCTGTTTGAGAAAAGTTTCTTACGCCCTCAGGAAGACATCTAGGCTTGCAGTGCTTTGATAGGCAAAGATAAAGAAAGGGTACTCGAGTTTAGGTTCAGCTGTTGGACCTCATGGACCTTAAACCTAAGTATCTGGAAGCAATAAATATAGCTCCAGGAGAGCAACCCCATGGCTATAAAAGGCTATATATCAATAAACCAGGGAATTCTGTGAATATTATTGCCATTTTCTGCTGATTAGCATACTCCAGCATGCCATGTTTCACCCATAGGAAAGCAAGCTACTCTCCATTTACAATTGCTTGGAAAACTCCACTATTTTTCGTAAAGATGCAGCTGATGTGTTACCAACACTTCCATGAGTGAAGTTAACACTCTTTGCAATTAGAAGGTATCTATGGACACTCTTAAATGCATCAGGATTCATATACCAGCTTCAAAAATCCTATCTTGTGGGTCTTCCATACATACTCTTTTATATGCAAAACAGAGCTGCATACCCCATAAATCAATTTTATTATTATGGAAATATTTACAGCTGTAAAACTGGTAAGAGCCTCTACTGTAGTCCATCTCCAGTTTTACAGTCTGCAGCAAAGCAGTATACTCTCAAGTTGCAGATACTTAGGGGAAAAAATAAATATTTTTTCTCCCTCTTTTGACTCCTCTGTTTTTTGGTTTTTTTTTTAATACCTTCTAAGCTCCATTCAAAATGGAGAACTCTCTAGGAGATAAATAAAATCACATTCTTGGAGGAATTAAGCCTCATAAGTGTAAACACCAAATTGCTATGTTGCTATTGCCATTTCATTTTCAGCTTTGCTCTGCCCAGCCACCCTGACATGATACAAGACATTTTTCACTCTCATAGCTCTGCTGATTGCAGCTCACCACAACGATTTGATGCATCAACAAACCTGGAAATGTTGAAATACTGCATAAACACCAATCTAACAGCTCATCTGTTCCTTGCTCCTTGACTGCGGAAACATACTGCCTTTTCTATAGTGCCACTAACAAGATGTTGATGAAGGAATTTAGGGTTGGCTTTCAGCAGCCAAGCTAGACATAGAGGTAGATTATCCCGCAATCCTCATGATTTTTAAAAGTTCTAATTCCAGAGTAAAGCAAAGACAAACAGCTTGCTTTGAACCAAACACCTCTGAAGCAGAGTGCTTGGTTTCCTTCTGGACATTTCCAGGGTGTGCTGGCTATGACTAAACCACCAGACCCACAAGTGACGCTGGAGAGGATTTTTAGGTCCAAGCTAGAATGGGTCAGAATGAGAAGTGCAGTTCCTATCACAGCATCAGCTGTCTTCGCATGTGGAGTCTGTAGGAGACAGGCTTCAGTCTGAGAGTTGAGTGTAATTTTATTTGCTTGTTTTACTGAACCAGACCCAGCCACCTACTGCATGGTGCCAAATCATCTCCATAAACGTCTGTAAGTAGCCTAAAGACTGTGTTTTGTATTTACAGGCTGTTATTTTCTGGTTGAAGAAACAGATTCCTCGGAAATCAAGAATTCAAACCAGATTTCTAAACCTGAACTCTGTTCCCCTCTCTGAACCAGCTGTAGCTACTTGATATAACAGGTCAGAAAATGATGGGCCTTCTGCTTTATTGAGATCTACACAACTAGCGGGGATGACAAACTGTACCCTGAGGTACAGGGCTACTGGAAAATCAGACGTTAGGCTTCTGACACAGAATAACTTCACAGTAAATAGAAGAGCCATCAACAATGCCAAGCACAGGAGGCTTGCATCCTAAGCCAGCTAAATGCTTCACACCCAGCCCACTGGCTGCAAACTTGGATCCCTGGTAGCTTTTACAGAGGTTTTAACGTGCACTGCAGTGTTTAGTAAGGCTGTCTGCAGGACTCCAGACTACACTGCATCACATACAGAACAAACCATCAGTAAGTAGATCAAATGAAGAAGACTGCACGGGAAGACAGAGCAGGTTTTCCTGACTCCCAGCATCATTTTTGTCCAGGTTGCTGTCCAACAATATAAGCATTTAAAAGTTGCCTTGCTTCTTTCTGCAAGGTGAACTCAAGGGGTCAATGGTGCGGCAACCTAATTCACCCTCCTGTGAGAAGAAACTGCCCTAGCAATGTTCTCTGCCTCCCTAAGTCCACCGATAAAGCATTTTCCAACTGGTTTCAAAGCTGTTCTGGAGCACCTGGAAGAACTGCAAGTCACCTGTGGGGAGGGAAGGCAGGAAAGGAGAGGAGAGGGCTGAGAGGAGAGGGCTGCTGGAAGGCCACGAAATGAAGCCAAGCTTCTCTCTCATGGGTGCTCGGGTTTGGCAAGGGTTTGCTCAGGGAGGCAGCTCTGCCTCTCAAGCAGCGAGGTTTTTAGGTTGTGCTTCAGCTGTCACCTTTCCAAATTCAGTTAAGAGCTCTCCTTAATCAAAGCCACCTCTATCAAACAGAAAGGCTCCTGAACAAGTAACTCATAATTGCGAATTAGGAATTACTATCCTAAAACACACGGCTTGGCAGAACTCAGAAACTCTTCAGTTCTATTTAAAAATCTGAAGTTTAAGCCTGCTGTTGCCAGCTGAGGCAATATGGCATGCTAATCAAGAAAAAGTCATGGACCACATAAAAAGGGTAATGGGATGAAAAAAGCCACGCCTTTGGCTGCTGACAGAAGCCTTGGGAAAGCCAGGCTGACTGGCT